TCCAACCTGTAACAGATCCACAGACCTTTTAGTAAATTGTGCGCACATCCATGGATAGAATTTGGCCTTAAATGTTTTTTGTGTTTTGGACATAACCTGAAAGCCTATAGTCAGACTTACAGGGGTGTAGGTTGTAGCTGACTTTACCTCCATTGAAACCAGTGGGACTTAGCCCTGTATAAAGACTCCAAGATGGTACCTGAGTATGCTTTAACCCTTAGGACTAACTAGAGTCTTAAGGTATTTTATGCCACCAGGGTCTAGAGTAGGGGTTGGCAATGAGTGTCCCAGCATGTGACCCACCAAGTTTCTGCACCCCACAAATTGCAAGAAGCATCCTGAAGCTCGCTGTGCTTTTGGACATGTGGAGAAGCTGTGGCAGCAGCAGGGTCTGTTCTGCACCACATCTTGGGCAGCAGTTGTAGTGGAAGTGACTGGGTCAAAGGTGTCAGCATGTCCTTGGGCAGCCTGGCACATGGCATAAAATAGCTTTGGGATGCATGGGGGAACTGCAGTTTCTGTCCCAGTGCCTCCTGCTGCAGGTGCTGCCCAGAACGTGGTGCAGAACAGACTACATGCCTGCAGCTCCTTCTTATGTCTGGCAGTGTGCTGCACTTCAGGATGCTCCTCACAGTCTGGTGTGTCCCAAAGCTTGCTGGGTCACATGCTGGGAGCAACTGTAACGGCAGGATCTGGAACAGGGGCTCTGGCATGTCCCTGACCAGACAGGGACTGATGGAGTAGTCAAGTAATTATTCATATAAGGCTGTGCTTGCTAGATGGCAGCTGGTGGGGATGCTTTGTGGGTAGGAACCTGTTTTGCTGGGGCTTGGGGTACAGAGTGGGACCTGCCTTCAATCAATGTATGGGCAAGGGCGCTATGCCCCACCTCCCTGTGAGTGTGCAAGGCTGAGGACTGTTGCCCTAGAGCAGGGGTGGCCAACCTGTGGTTCCGGAGCCATATGCGGCGCTTCAGAAGTTAATATGCGTCTCCTTGAATCTTTGCACAAGCACATGGTAACCATCTTCCATTTGGACACACCTAAAGATTCAAGGAGATGCATATTAACTTCTGACGAGCCACATGTGGCCCCAGAGCTGCAGGTTGGCCACCCCTGTCCTAGAGTGTTCAGGGGAAGTAGGATTGCTCTAGTTGGTGCACCATTAGTCTTTCCCACTGCTGAGAAACTGCAAGGACTTGGCACAAATCAAGCAGTCCTTATACTTGTGTTTTGTGAAGGAGTCACCCACTGTCATATCGCTGTTGGAGATCAACCCCATAATAAATTATACACTCTGGCCTTTTTCATGGCTGATCTATGTTTGATTTGGCCTTCTGTTACTGAAAGGTTGCTGATGCCTGTTCTAGAGTATGATGGTTGGAGAATGGAAAGCCTGTTGCCACTAGAAAGGTGTGGGGCCAGTTTAGGGAATGCATGTAGTCATTTTCCCCAGGATTCCCTCTTCTTTCCTCTGGTCTGCTTGAAATAGTGCTCCACCCCTCCCTGCTGTCAAGGCCAATCTATCTCACGTAGACATGAAGTAGCCAGTTTTGGGCAGCAGTTTTGGACCCTCCATAAATTGCCATACCCAGAAGTAGTTGACAACACACTTTGTTACTGTTAGTGTGACTGCCTGTGGTGCTACAGGTGAGCTAATTAGCCCTGCCTCCCAGAAGGGAGGTTTCATGACAGCATGTCATAGGGATGGCCAGTTAAGGATCAGGTTTCCAAATTCAGGACAGAAGTCTTGTTTCAGGAATTCATTATTGATGCAGGAACATGGTTCTAAAACTTGAGTCCATGACATACTAGACAGCTGAACACTTTATACAAGGAAGCACTAAGGATGTATGATGCATTGTGACAGTTGTAGTCAATCACCTGATGCAGAACCCAGCATGTTAGTTGATGAGGCTGCCAGATCATGGGTAGTGGGTTAAAAAGAGGAAGATGAATATGCACTGGGTTTTCTTGGCAGCTCTGGGGGAAACAAATGGAGGGTTTGGAAAACAAGGAGCTTTTCATGTGGAAAAAGGTAGAAGGAAAGAGCAGGAAGAGCTGGGGTCCTGGAGAGTAGTGGAATTGGGTGCCCAAGATGAGTGGTCGTTCCTTAAGGAGACGATACTCAGAGCCCAAGCGGTGACAATGCCAATGAGAAGCAAAGGGGGCAAGAGTGCCCAAAAGCCCCCCTGGCTCACCAAGGGCATTTGGGAATGCCTGATTGCCAAAAAGGAGATGTACACCCAGTGAAAGGGAGGGACTATCACCAAAGGGGAATATACCTCCACCGCTCAGGTCTGTAGCGGGGCTGTTAGGAAAGCTAAGGCAGATACGGAAATAGGGCTAGCATCAAGGATAATAAAAAGTCCTTTTTTTAAATACACAGGGAGCATGAAGAAGGCACCGGGTAATGTGGGGCCCCTGCAGGTTATGTTTGGCAATCTGGTGGTTGCACCAGAGGAGAAAGCAGACCTCTTTAACAATTTCTTTGCCTCCATTTTCTTGTGCAGGGATCGGACTCCCCTACCGAGATTCAGGATAGACTCAGGAGAAACTCCGCCAGGCCTAGGGTCAGGGAGGACCGGGTTAGAGAACTTCTGGAGGGGCTGGACATGTTCAGATCAGCAGGTTCAGATGCTCTCCACCCCAGGGAGTTTAGGGAATTGGCAGGGGTTATCGCGGGGCCCTTGGCATGGCTTTACGAGCACTTGTGGTGCTCTGGCCAGGTGCCGGATGACTGGAAGAAGGCCAATGTGGTCCCCATCTTTAAAAAAGGGAAGAGGGAGGACCCGGGCAACTATAGGCCTGTTAGTCTTACTTCAATCCCGGGGAAGTTCTTTGAGAAGATTATCAAGGAGCACATCTGTGATGGGCCAGCAGCGGGGATGATGCTCAAGGGCAACCAGCATGGTTGCATTAGGGGCAGGTCCTGTCAGACCAACCGGATTGCCTTCTAAGTTCAGGTCACAAAATCACTGGACACAGGTGTTGCAGTGGATGGAGTCTTTCTGGACTTCAGGAAGGCCTTTGACACTGTCTCCCACCCCATTCTCATTAAAAGCTAGGCAACTGTGGCATTGATGCCTACACAGTCAGATGGATTGCAAATTGACTGAGGGGTCTTACTGAGGGACAGGATACAACTGGACCTGGACAGGTTATAGGGGTGGGTGAATGAAAATAGGATGGGATTCAATACTGACAAGTGCAGGGTGCTGCACTTAGGCAGTAGGAACCAGCAGCATACCTACAGGCTGGGGAACTCCCTTCTTGAAAGCACGGTGGCAGAAAGAGATCTTGGAGTCATTATTGACTCCAAGATGAACATGGGCCGACAATGCGAGGACATGGTCAGTAGGGCTAACCGTACCTTGTCGTGCATCCACAGATGCATCACAAGCAGGGCCAAGGAGGTGATCTTCCCCCTCTATGCGACACTGGTCAGGCCACAGCTGGAGTACTGCATCCAGTTCTGGGCACTGCACTTTAGGAGGGATGTGGACAGCATTGAGAGGGTCCAAAGGAGGGCCACTCGCATGATCCAGGAACAGCAGGGCAGACCCTATGAGGAAAGGCTACGGGACCTGAACCTGTTCAGCCTTCGCAAGAGAAGGCTAAGGGGGGACCTGGTGGCCATCTATAAACTTCCTAGGGGGGACCAGCAAGGATTGGGAGAGACCTTGTTCCCCCGAGTGCCTCCCGGAGTAACAAGGAATAACGACCATAAGTTTTTAGAGAGTAGGTTTAGACTAGACATTAGAAGGCACTACTTCACAGTCTGGGCAGCTAGGATCTGGAACCAACTTCCAAGGGAAGTGGTGCTGGCTCCTACCTTGGGGGTCTTTAAGAGGAGGCTTGATTTTTATCCGGCTGGGGTCATTTGAGCCCAGTTTTTTCTCCTGCCCAGGGCAGGGGATCGGACTAGAAGATCCCTTCCGACCCTACATCTATGAATCTATGAAGAAACCATCCACATAGCAGCTATTTCATCATGCAACAGCCAAGCATGCAATCCGCTGCTTCTGTTAATGCCATAAGATAAAATGGCCAAGGCAAGAAATGGGCCCAATATCAGAGCAAAAATAATGGAGTATTTTGTGCCAGGTAAGAAGGACAATGAACTGGCTAGAAAACAATCAGCAACCCTAGGAAACCCAACGGGACATGTAGAGAGAGCAGTGACTTTGGTATACTTGTATCTCAGTGCTCTAATTTGTAATATATTTAGAGCCTGCATGCCAGAAAGGATTGGCCATTGCAGGCAGTAAGACTGAATACAGTATCGATTGTGCAGAAGTGCAAAATTCTCAAAGATTTTCCTTGATCATTTTACTTGAAATATATTCTATTTTCATTTACATGCTTTCTTGATGTGATTATAGGGAAGCATAGATATTTATTTAGCTTTGTTTATCTAAGGGAAATTTACTGGTATTGTAATTTAAATCTGACATTGCAAAAATTTCATTCTTTTATGTAACTACTTTGGGCAGAAGCTTTTATTGCATAATTGTATGACCAGGCATATTTTTATATTATTTTTATTTGGCAACAGATATATTTAAGATGCTGCTAAAAATAAAATGTTGCCTTTTTCAGTTGGGTATGCATCCCTTTGTGATATCATCAATCAAGAACTTTTTGCTCCATGTCGTGCCTATGTAAACCCAGGATTATACTACCAACTGTGCCGTTTTGATGCATGTAAATGTGGAAGCAGCTGTTTGTGTAACGCACTTGCACATTATGCCTATATCTGTGGCAAACATGGAATTACTGTTGATTTCCGAACTCATATTTCATCCTGTGGTGAGTAACAATTGTAGAACTTGATTAATTTTAGAAATGTGAATTCAATAAGGATGATAGTTGTATAAAGCACAGATTTGTTTTAGTTTGTATTAACCACCGTGTTTGGATGAAACACAGTGGTTGTCCCATATGTTTTGGACCAGCAGGCCACTATTTACCCTCTATTCCTTAATTCCGTTTGTAATGGAAAGTTGGGGGGTGGTATGATCTGTGAACAACTTACTATGGCTTTTTGGACTGCTATTGATTAGAGGACCACAGTTAAAAAATCTGATTTTATACAAAGTGAATACACACAATATCAGCTGCATTGCCGGGAATGTCAAGTCTTGCTGTGGGAGAGTTACTACACAGTATGAAAAACTTGCTGATTTTAGTACAGCTACAATAACTGACCCCATAATTCAGGTACTGAATAGAAGAACAGTTACTAAAAGTACTGAATTTGAAGGTTTTTAAATGCAAGCCAAGGAGGTTTTTTCTCCTGAAATAATTTGAGCAAAGTTGTTTTGGAAGTTTTAGAAAATAAGAGAAAAATAGATTACCTTTCCTGCTTTTCACCTTTCATTCTTCTTTTATTTTCATTCTACCCTTTAAATTTTCCTCTGTTTGGTGCATATACCCCCTGGCACGTAAAAGATCTAAGGATATAAATTGTAATTTCTTGTCTCTGTCCCTTAATACTTTTGTTTTAAAAATGAAGAATTGGAGCACAGAAGAGCCCATAAATCTCAGAGAAGCACAGAAAAGAGACTTGCCTTGGATTACATAAGAATTTAGGGGCAGAACAGGGAGTTGAATCCAGATCTCGCAAATCCTGGCTTGATGCCTAAACCACTGGACTCTCTTTTATGTCATGGAAACCTCAGTTATTAGAAATACATTGAAAATACTTTATACTAAAAGGAAAAACATGGAAAAGTATCAGCAATTCAAAGAAACATCTTGCATTTAATAATTTAAAACTTCAAGAATTGTAAAGCAAAGTATTTTCTTAACATGACTGTAATCTGAAATTTTTTGTTTTACCTAAGAATCTTGTGGGCAGAGCTTGGCATAACTCTTTGGGAAATATGGGAGATTATATCTCGCTTGGTTATTTCATACTGTTTTATGTTTGTCAGTGATATTATTTCAATTCAACATTTTAATGTGTTCTTCTCCCAGCTGTAGTATGTAACAGTGGCATGGTGTATCACCATTGTTCCTCTACCTGTGAACACTCCTGTGCTTCCCTTTCTGCCCTGAATGTCTGTGGACCTGAATGTGCTGAAGGATGTAATTGTCCTGATGGGAAGTACTTTGAAGAGTCAGTCAAGTTCTGTGTGCCACTGTGAGTCACTTTAAATTGTAAATTGTACACTCTAAATGTCTGTATGTCTTTGAAATATGACTTTCTGTTGTAGCTCATATGGAGATGTTAGGTTGCATAATATTTTAATAAAATTATTTTTTAATATTAAAATATAATATAATATAAATATTTAACAATATTAAAAATAATACCTTTATGTGCCTTAATAGTATAGCCTTGCCTCAAATACTGTGTGCAAAAACGGTTCAAGATCCAAAGGTTCATCTGAATCTAGCCTCCCTCATCAAAAAGTCTCAAAAAAGAACTTGCTGGAGGTGGTTCAACTTTTTTAGAAAGTGCTAGAAAGGGGAGGTGGCAAATAAGAAACCTTGTATATGAAATATAAGAAAAAGTGTGATTCCTTATCTTTGGGAAGACACAAATGAAAAGGATCATGATAGAAATATGTCAAGTATATAAAATCGGTCAGAAATATTTTCTTATAATAAAGACTAGGGGACTTGAGTTTGATTAAGAGATGGAGAATTTGCAGTCTACAATCATATATACTTTTACACACAATATGTAAGTAGGCTGTGGGATACATTGCTATAGGAGGTCATCTGCTGTTTATATGGATATTGGATATACCCAGAATTGTAGTTACTGATAAACAGTTTGGAAAGGAAAATAAACCTTGTACATCAGGGCTTTACCAGAATCTTTACTGTTAGAGATAAAGATGAAACATACTCCAGGGACAAACTGGCTCCCAAATGATGGCTGCAACAGAAGCAATGCAGACAAAAGATCAAGTTTGAGGAACTCAAGGACCCAATCAAGTGAGACCTCTTCTACCACTGCCTCAACAAAAAACTCCCACACAACAACAATGAGAGAACATCAGTAGCACTCGGGGAGCATTCAAGTTCACCATCAGCAGCACCTGTGAAAAGACACTTTTGTTCTCTACCAGAAACATCAAGACTGGCTTGAGAATGATGGGGAGTTCCAAGAGCTGATTGAGTTGATCTAAGAGTTGATCCAAGGCTTTTTGTGCTTAGCAGAATGACATCAACTCCAAGCAAAGAAATTGAATCACCAACAAGTCAAGGCCATAGGTATATTAATGCACAGGTCAGTGAGGTCCGGGTCCAGGGAACCCTGCCAATTGCTGGCCCCTGGATGCCTGGGTCGTTCCCCTCCCCCCGCCCCCGCCCTGCCTGGGTTTCCTTGGAAACGGCAGTTTTCCCCTTGTAGGTGGGCAGCAGTCTAGCCTGCAAAGGGTCCTGCTTGGGGTGTGGCAGGTCACGGTGCTATGCTACCAGAAGTAGTTTACTGAGTACAGCACATGGATCCACTCGCTTGGCCATGGCCTGGCCATGCCCACCAAAATGAATGCCTGCCACCCCCCTGCTTGGGCCTGGGGGCATGGTGCAGTGGGGAGAAGAAATGCCCTGAGAAGGATTGGCTGGGGCAGAGGGGGGAGGTCCTGTGAGGGGAAAGTGTGTGTGTGTTCGTGGCAGGCAGAGTGTCTTTGCATCTGTGTGTCCATGTCCAGAGAATGTGTGTGTGTTCATGGTAGGGAGTGTGTGCGTGCATGCGTGCATGTGTGTCCATGTGCATGGCAGGGAGTGAGGGTGCCCCCAGGCAAAAGCAGCAGGGTGGAGAGACCTGAGTTGGCAGTAGGCAGCCCTCATCCACCCTCACCCTGTTGGACTCTGCTCTAGCCATGGGGGCAGGGGTGGACAGGCAGGGAGGAGAGGTGGACATGTACTTCCTACCCCCAGCCCAGCTGGGTCCACCCAGCCTCCCCCATGGGGCATGGAGGCCCGCTCGGCCCTTGGCAGAGGCAGCACCAGGAGGGGAGGGGTCCCCCCCCCCACCTGTCCAGCCCCCACAGAGGGAGGAGACCTCCAATTTTGATTGCCCAGGGGACTTATAAACCTTAATATTCCTCTGACCGAGGCTGTGATATGAAGAACAGATGGCAGGAAGACAAGATGAAGGAGATTCAACATCTCGATATCTATGCTATGCATGGTTTTTCCAATGCCACCAAAGCCATCTTCTGTCTGAGCATAAGCACTCGGCGAACAAGCTCTTTCAGATCTAAGAATGGAAGAGATCTAATCAAGGAAAGGGTCTCAATACCTGTTGGAAGGAGCATTTTGAAGACCTTCTTTGTTGATACTCTCTTGCTGATGAGAGTGCTCTCAACTCCATCCTACAACACCCAGTCAGAGACGATTTTGGAATCCCTCTAACTCTTGATAAGGTTAGGAAAGCCATTAAGCAGAAGAAGAATTACAAAGCATCCAGAACTGTTGGAATCCTCATTGAAATATTCAAGCCCAGGGGGAGAGGCGCTCAATCAGAGCTCCATGCCCTCATCTTAATGATCTGGAATGATGAAATCCCAAATGACCTTAGGGATAACATGATTGTGACAATCTTCTAGAAAAGAGACAAGACCAACTGTGGAAGCTATAGAAGGATCACCTTGCTGTCCACCACAGAAAGATCATTGCAAAAACCCTTCTGAACAGTCTCCTTTCACTTGCAAAGAACTCCTCCTGGAATTTCATTGTGGGTTTTGGGCATCAAGAGGCACAACTGACATGATCTTCACTGCTTACCTGCCAGCTGCAGGAAAAATGCTGGTAACAATAGAAAACTCTCTACATGGTTTTCTTTGACTACATGAAAGTTTTCATCTCTATCAACCAAGAATCACTGTGAAGAATCCATCTGAAGTATGGCTGCCCACGCAAATTCGTCACTGGCAAAATTCATCTTGTCTGCTCCTTGACAGTATGTGAGCAGTGGCTCTCAGTAACAGATCTATCACAGATCCCTTTGAGGTTAGGACGGGAGTTAAGCAAGGCTGTGTCATCACTCCACCCCTCTTCTCAATACTCTTTACCATGATGGTACATCTGACCACCAACAAGCTTCCAGTTGGAGTGGAGCTAAACTATTGAATGGATGGCAAGTTGTTTAATCTCAGCTGACTCTGAGCTAAAATCAAGACCATCCCCAACCTCAGGCATCGAACTCCAGTATGCTGATGGTGCCGTAGTGTGTGTTCACTCAGAAGCAGGGGTGGATTAATGCATAGGCCCAGGGGCAGCTTGACCCAGACAGGCATCCTGGCCACAGGCATCTGGGGCAGGCAGTGTGTGCCTCCTTCCCCCCAGCTGGGGCAGGACCAGAGGCTAGGGGACGGGCATAGGACTCTGTATGGGTTGTGGTGGCTCCCTGGGGCCATCTGTTGCTAGGAGACCCTATGGGTGGCCCTACTTCTGCTCTCTACAGTCTGTGGGTGGCTGCTGGAATGAGCACTGCTGAGCCAGGGCCAGCAGAAGGGCGGGCAGGCAGCTATGGGTGGCATGGAGCCCATGCCCTGGCCCTGACCAATCTCACAGTGCTGGGGGACTGCAGCCCTGGTTGCTTGACACCTGCCTGGTGGAGGGGCTGGGCCACATCGGGCCCAGCAGCAGCTCCTTGGTGAGCACAGAGGAAACCTGGTGGGGGGGCCTTCAATTTTTTATTTGCCCAGGGTCCTAATAAATGTTAATCTGCTACTGCCTTCAGGCAATTGTTAATGTCTTTACCAAGGCATTCAAGAAAATGGGACTGACACATAACATTCAGAAGACTAAGGCACTCCATCAACAAGCTCTTACTGAGCAATCCCCAGCTCTGGTAATTCAGGTTTGCAGTGGGACTCTGAAGAATGCTGAATATTTTCTGCACCTCAGAAGCCATCTCTCTCAGAAGGCTGACATCGATGAAGAAATCCAGCATTGCCTTACAAGTGCAAGTGCAGTCTTTGGACACCTGAGAACAGGCATTTGAAGATTGCAATATCAGACTCAACATTAGCTTTCTCTCACAAGCAAGCACCATGGGCATCAAGGCAATGATCATCCGATATCAACTTTGCTGTGCTGGTCACGTTATCCAGATGTCCGACTTTAGTCTTCCAAAGCAAGTTTTATTCCTCTAGCTCAGTTGAGGCATACCCTCAAGAGAAGAGCAGAAAAAGCCCTTCAGAAACATCCTGAAGGCCAGCTTGGAAAAAATGTAACATCAACATCAACTCATGGGACACTATCATTCAGGACCCCTGCAATCCCCCCCCCTCCAAGTGGAGTCAGAGTCTGCTGCAAAGATCTCAGTAATTTGAAACCTCTTGATGATAACAGGAGATGGAGAAGTGGGAGCTACAGAACCAGCATGTCGTGGCATGAATCAAGAATTTAGAGCCGCCCACTCCACACAGGAATATGTGCTCAAATTGCAGCAGAGCCTGATCCTGGATCAGCTTCATCAGCCATCTTCAGATCCACAGACAAAGCAATCATGGAAGACAATTGTCCTCAACTGTGGAGGAGTGTTGGTGGATGACTATAGGGACAGATTCTTTAGGTAATCCATTTCTAATCATTTGGAGAAGAAAGTGATTAGGAACAGTCAGCATGGATTCACCAAGGGCAAGTCATGCCTGACCAACCTGGTTGCTTTCTATGATGAGATGACTGGTTCTGTGGATGTGGGGAGACGAGTGGATGGTGGTGTACCTTGACTTCAGCAAACCTTTTGATACAGTCTACTACAGTGCAAGCAAGCTAAGGGAGTACGGGTTCAATGAATGATCTGTAAGGTGGATGGAAAACTGGCTGGATCATCAGGCTCAGAGGCCAGTAGTCAATGGTTTGATGTCTAGTTGGCAGCTGGTATCAGGTGGAGTGCCCCAGGGGTCGTTCTTGGTCCCAGTTTTGTTCAATATCTTCATCAATGACCTGGAAGATGGCATAGAGTGCACCCTCAGCAAGTTTGCAGATGACACCAAGCTGTGGGCAGTAGTAGATATGCTTGAGGGTAGGATTAGGATTCAGAGAGACCTAGAGAAATTGGAGGATTAGACCAAAAAAAATCTCATGAAGTTCAGTAAGGACAAGTGTAAAGTCCTGCATTTAGGACAGAACAATCCTATGTACCAGTTGGGGGCGGGCGCGCTGACTGGCTGGGCAGCAGCTTTGCAGAAAAGGACCTGGGGGTTACAGTGGACAATAAGCAGAATATGAGCCAACAGTATGCCTTTGTTGCCAAGAAGGCTAATGGCATACTGGGTTTCACTGGTAGGAGTGTTGCCAGCAGGTCAAGGGAAGTGATTATTCCCCTCTATTCTGCACTGGAGTATATGCAGAGACATATCTGAAGTATTGTGTTCAGTGTTGCCTCCCCCACTCCCCCCAGCTATAGAAAGGATGTGGACAAATTGGAGAGAGTCCAGCAGAGGGCAATAAAAATGGTTAGGGGGCTTGGACATGATTTATGAGGAGGGGCTGAGGGAACTGGGATTTAGTCTGCAGAAGAGAAATGGATTTAATAGCAGCTTTCAACTACTTGAATGGTGGTTCCAAAGAGGATGCAGCTAGATTAGTCTCAGTGGTGACAGATGACAAAGTAAGGAGCAGTGGTCTCTAGTTATAGCAAGGGAAGTTTAGGTTAGATATTAGGAAAAACTGTCTCACCAGGAGGGTAGTAAACACTGGAACATGTTACCCAGAGAGGTTGTGGAATCTCCATCCTTGGAGGTTTTTAAGACCCGGTTAGACAAAGCCTTGATTGGGATGATTGAGCTGGAGATGGTTCTGCTTTGAGCAGGGGGTTGGACTAGATGACCTCCTGAGGTCCCTTCCAGCCCTAATTTTCTATGATTCTATAATTATCTCTCATATGCCTTCTGCAGGGTTCTTGTACCCTCTTCAGAACCATTTGGCATTACCATGCCAGAAAGAAGCCAGTGAACTAGATGGACCTTTGTTAAAAATTATTACTATTCTTACGTGTAAATGATTCTTAAAGCTGTTCCCTGAAATCAGACCGTACCAAACTATATCTTGCTGTGTTCATTCCATAAATGGGAAGAAAATATGTTTTGTGAGGCTGCAGCATGCAGAAAAAACAAACAATTTGAAGATCAAAACAGGATATGGGTGAAATCCTGGCAAAAGTTCCAATGACTTGCAAAGGGCCAAAATGTCATTATTTAAATTTAGTTTGCACTGTAAATATAAATTAGTGAATTATGAGGCCCATGTACAAGGACTTGATAAATAAATGAAATCCAATACAAATAAATTTTGTTTTGATTATCACATGCATAAACTTTGTTTTAACAGATCTAGCTGCCGTTGTTATTACAAAGGCAGAACCTTCCAGTCTGGAGAAATCCTGCCTGTACCGTCAGGTTCCTGGTAGGTTTCAGTATTACAGTCCTTACTCTCTAAAGCCGTTTTTCTACAGGGAGAATCCTGTCCTTGTGTGGTTTTCCATGCGGAATCAGGGTCTAGTGGCTTGAGGGCCTATTTTAATTTTCACGGTTAGAAAAGGAAATCTTAAAATATATTAAATACAACTATTCTTAATTTAAGAAAGGACTTACAAAGGCAAATCAAGAGCTTAGTGTTGTTGAAGTTGTTAATATGTGAGAACACATAAAAGCAGGCACAAGTTAAGTCCTGTATGTACAGAAGCCTGGAGCATCTCAAACTATGTGTGAACTGGTCACACTATTGTTCTTGGAGCTGCATGTACTAATATACCAATCAGGACAAAATTCTTAGGAAATCTCCCCAGTGTGATTCCACCTCTCGAAGGATGAAAAATGCTTTGTGGGTTAACATACCATGTTAAGGTGTCTCAGTGGTGAAGTCCTGGACTCATCAAAGTTAATGGCAAAACTGTCAGGACCAGGATTTCAAGCTTGCAAGTCAAACCCAATTGGTTTATAAGTAAAGCTTTTTCTTTTTATTTTAAACTGCTAGTCTTGATAATCCACTTTGGGATTATTAGAGTTGAGATGGGTTCTTTTTGGTTTGTTATAACATTTTCAAGACTTGAAGAAGAATGTCCTGACTTCAAAAGCTTGTCATATAGTTGGTCCAATAAAAGCTATCGCCCACAAAAATCCTTGCTTCTCTTCAGTAATAAAGATATTTTGACTGCATATCAATTGTCCACTAAATTGATGTGTGAACCAAAATGCAACTCCGCTCATTCTTCTCTTGCAGTATCACCTCTACAATGCTCCAAATGGCTTTTTTCTTAATAGGACTAAATCATTCTTTTATTTTTTTTCTGAATTTCTGTTTTTGTTAAGGTATGAGTATTCTCTCCCAATTTTGCTTAATGAACAATTTCATAGCCTGGATTCCCTTTAATTGAAAAAGATGACAGGATTTTATTATATTACATTACCAATATCATAAAACACCTGGTTCCTGCCTCAATTCCAAAAAAGTGTTGGGCAGCTTTTTTATCTTTCTGGAGTTTAACAGTTCTTATGGAATTGTTTAAATTGGGTATTTTTTATAATTCTACATAATTATAAAATGTTAGAAAAAAACAGTTTCATGCACAGCAGTTATGTGACTTTTTTCTGGAATTAAGATTATTTGTTTGCTTTTTTTTACTCTAGCCAGTGTTTGAATGGAACAATGAAATGCACTGAAACTGCTACATCATCTGCAGGTGATTTATATTCTTGACTCCTTTTATAGTTTCACAGAGAAACTGATTGCCATTGAACATTCATTTTCCATATTTGCAGACATCTAAATACCATGACTGTCACAGCAGTTTCTATTATTTAAAGTTATTTGACCATGACTTAAATGATCTAGGAGCATAAGTCTTATTGACAGTGCAAATTGTACTAAGTCGCTTATGACAGGTACCTCTAAAAATTCTGTTTTAAGTCACAGGCCAACTTTTTTCAAATGTAGGGATATAAGGTTAGGCCCCCAAATCCATATTCTGGTTTTAAAAGAAGCAGTCTGATTATTCAGAGGTGCTGAGGAGGTTAAATTTCAATTGGACTTCTGATAGGATTTGTTACTTTCCAGAATTCCTGAAAAAAATTGAGCCGGTTAAGAGACTTATCTAAAGCATACCAAAGTGAAAGTTAAGACTCCTGTTGATTTTTAATGGATCATTCCCTAGATCTTGGTTTAGATATAATTTATAGGCAGACAAATTTGAAACTTCTAACCATACTTAATACCTTTTATGTAATTCATAGAATACAAAATTTAAAGTTCTACTTAAATAGTAGCATACCACAAACAATGTATGTTGCAATTTAAAAATACTATTTAAAATAATTATTTAATTAAACAGTGAACTAAAACAAACTTCAGTGTAAAAGAGCATTTGATCTTATTTAATGTGCATTTTATGTCTGAAGTTCGTGTGTGCCCTGAAGGAAAAACCTACTATGACTGCAGATATCAAGTGCCTGGTTTACCTGCAGCTGGCGTGAACTGTGAGACCTCCTGTGCAAATCTTGCTATGAACTTCAGCTGTGTTCCTCCCCCACCATGTGCAAGTGGTTGCATTTGTCCCCCAGGGTAAGTCACTTTTCAGTGTGTTTGTTACATTCAGAAGGATAAGAATAATTTTCTTTTACAGGGATGCCCTGCAGTATTGTCTTTTTTTTTTTTTTATTCCTTTGATAGCACTGTGCCTGAATATTCTTCTTTAGCTTTGAAACCATCATATTGTTAACTTACTGAAATGTAATGAAATAGGTGGATCTAAGATTTTGTAAAAGGGTGTGTGGCAGATGTGGCTAGGGCTGCAGGGGTTGTTGCAAAGCCCCCAGTTTCCAAGGCTGGTAAGACTCCCTCCCCCCCCCCCCCCCCCCCCCACGCGGGGCCCCCCCCCAGCCAAGGGGTGTTGGCCTTGGCTAGGGACTGGCTACCCACAGAGCTGCTCCCCTTTGGGAGTGACCTTTAGGGGCACTTGTACACATGATGGGGGTTTCATCCTCACTAAATTAAACAGGTTTATTAAAATTGATATGGTGTGCTTTAATTTATGTCACTGTGTACAAGTGACAGCTCCTCCTGCACCTGGATCAGCTGGGCAATGTGGTGGCAGGTCTCTCTTTCTGAGCCTCCTCTAGGCCTGGTGTGCCTGAAGATTCCCCACTAGCTTTGGATCTCCAGCCACACTTTGCCTTTCTTCCTACCTTCCATTCCCCCTCTGACCCCACCTGGTTTGAGCTCACTTTCTGCACAGATTCTACAGCAGACCCAGGTGTCCAGGGCTGTGGGGAGCTGGAGCTGCACAGTGGAAGGGTGTATGTGACTAGATCACTCCCCTCTCCCTCCTGGATCTGCTACTGTGTATAATGTTAATTTTCTTGTTCTTTTGAATACATCCCTTAATGAGGAACCTTATGCCTCCGTCTTCTGTTACGTAGAATCTTGTGCATCTCCCATTTTGATGTAGGGTGAAACTCCAAGAACACCCTGTGTTTATCCAGAACATCTGACTAGATATGGTACCTGTGGTCTTTCCTTTAGGACCCTTTGACTGATGGATTGAAGTGATACAAAACAGCTTTCGTAAAGAAAAGAGATATGTTGTTTGTTTAACCAAAAGAACAAAGCGCAACAGAACAGGATTTTTAAAACAAGAGGTCTATGTACATACCTGTGTTACTTGACTACTAGGCAGGCATATCTCATATCTTTCTGCCCTCTGGGGGCTGGTTTTCTATTTGTTCCCCTTAACTCTCTTTCCTGCCCTTGAGTGGCTGCCTTTTGAATCCAGCCACTGTTTCTCTCACTTTTATGCTTGGATAGCTGCCTGAAACCAGTTTGCTTAGCTCTGCAGGGGGTCCACCCAGGACATCAAAGGAAGTGACTCTCAAAAGGTTTACTGTAAAGTGTATATATCAGGATTCATTTCTTACTGCTCCACTCTTTCTTGAGTGTATTTCCTGGAAATCCTGTATATAGAAAGCATTGCAATAATCCAGTTAAGTATATGGGATTTGTAAATTATAAGTCCGTTCCAAATCTTTCACAATGATACACAGTTGATTTAAGTCTGAAGGGCCAAATACATAGATGTAAGTTGATGCGACTCCATCAGCAGAATGGTATCTGTTTACATCAGTGGTGAATTTTATTATTGAGTTTGGCAAAGCCACTTCATAAGTGAGTAGATCAGATCCCAATGGAGTTCTGATTAAAAATTCAGATGTATGAATTTTTACCCTACCATAAGAACTTGTCCCAGCCCCATCTTCTAATAACTTGTAACACACCTAAAAGTCTAAGAAGCAATGAGTATTCACTAGTCTTCTTTTAATACTACTATTCAAAAATGTGTATGTAATGAGCCCCAGGCACTGCCTGAGGGAAGGGAAGTGCTGGAATGGTGCTAGGGGCAGACCTTGCCCTACTGTCCCCTGTCCTCCATACCCTGCACCTTCACTGCAGCAGCACTAGCTCTGGCTGCAGGAATGGCAAAGAAGCAGTGGCTGCTGGTTGGTGCTGCTGAGGGATATATCATTTTTTTGCCATGGAAAAACTAAGGGTTTTTTGGCTACTTGTTGCATGTTGGCCCCCCCCCCCCCCCCCCCCAAACCAAAAACACTGGGGCCATCTTCCCCAGCAGCAGTGAACCTCCAGCCACTTTTCCTGCACTGTACATCACTGCTGCCCACAGCACAATACTGGCCATTTACCACTCTGAACTTACTAACTGTTCCTGCCTATTTCTCCGTAGGATTCATCTATGCTGCTCACTGGTTTGACCATTACTAATAGTTAATTTCTTGTTTAGAGCATTAAAAATGCGTTATTCCCTACAAGCTGTCAGCATGACACTTGCAACAAATGAAACTGTCAAGCCACCTGAACAGTGTTATGAAAGCTAGCATGATATTTCCACACACCCCCCGCGCCCCCAATTTAAAATCAAAGTTAAAAGCCCCTATATAGGATTACACCCTTCATAACTAGAATAGATTACTTGATCCTTCTTTTCTGATTAATAGATGAAAGGAGACCAGTCTGAAAAGCTGAAGTACAATTCTCCATCATCATAATTCGCATCAAATCACAGGGGATCAAATGTGATGGTACTTGGTTTGTTTAATGAAAGAATAGGCATTTATTTTGCTGTTAATATGAAAAAAACTAATTATTAAATTAGTGCTCTTACTGCTATTAAATTATAAGCTGCTGACAGATGTGGAAAAAACAAACAACCCTTTACCTGAAGAAGAAGCACGTTTGTTGGACCTGGCTCTGCAATGTCTGTATAGATTGGATGCTTCAGCAGGGCTTTTTGGCACTTTTATCTAAAGCTGATTCAATAAGCTATTTGATACAAGTGCCAACAAAGCCCCACTAAAGTCCCTGATCTATACAGACATTGGGCAAGCCAGGTCCAACTGATGCGATGCCTCTTTTGGGGCATGCGCTTGGCTCATCATGGGGGTGTGCCAAGTTTAAGATTTTTTTTACATCTGTAAGCAACCATGTTGTCCAAACATAAATAGATCAGTTAGCTATTTTGTTCCTAAACCACTAGAAATGAACAGTGTTCTCTCCAAAATATTTGGGTCAGAAGTTTCTCGTTTTGCATAGAGAAAATGTTACTAATAGGTTTCCCGATGCATAGTTTATATGTAGCGAGCCTGCAATACCGTTTAAAAAAGGTAATTCTCTCTCTGTGAAGTAAAGTGCCTCTCTACATGGGGTTAGGCCTTGTGCCCTGACCTTTTCTAAGGCAAAATATTCTGGTTTGTTCACTCTAAGAGCAGGTCCGAGGCTTCAGTACCTTACGTATTAATTAAGAGTATCCAGTGGATCTAATTGGGTCTTCCTTTGAGGACCCTGGATTGAACGGCCCCAGTGACAATTGGGTTAAATGACTTAAAAAACATTCTTCTTACAATTGAAAATGCACAATACTACAACTTTGAGGCACCAGTGTTGATTCTAATCTATATATGTATGGTGTGGAACAATAGGATCTATACCTCAGATTGTGTAATAGTTATGCCCTCAACTTTTTTTTTTTTAAGTATTCTATTCATTTTTTAATTCTTTTCCACATCTTCTATTCTGAGACCTCCTTCCTGACACTAATTTTTAAAAATCCTATGAAGTAAATTGTCTCATGATTTATTTGAAAGGAAATAAATGTCTATCCTAAGAACTTATAGTAATACTGGGAAAACAGTACACTTTTTGTGAACTTTTTGACTGCTACTACAAGTGAAGGAACTTTACCCTTGTTCATTGTATGGGTTATTTCTGTTTGCATTTATATAGATGACCTTCTCACCCAGTCACAAGAACAACCATACATTGCTTTCCTAGTGGCTAGTATAAGGAAAACATATAGTATATTCTGGCTGTTCTTTAATGCAGCTTCACAGCTGGAAATAAGCAGTTAGCACAATGTGCTTGGTTAGGTCTATTCCAATAAATGCTCAGCTGACTGCTAGCACTTTACAGAACACATTTGAAAACCTTTGCTGTAAAAGACAATTTTGAGCTCGTGTAGTGGGATGTTTACTTTAAATAATTATTTAATTTTTTATTTTGAAGCATGGCAGAACATAAAGGGAAATGTTATGTTCCTGATAGTTGTCCATGTACCTGGAAAGACAGGGAATATCTGTCAGGAGAAGTGATAGCTACACCTTGCTATACATGGTAAGTGACTACCATCATTTAAATCATTATGCCTAATGATAAAATTAACTTAAGTTAGCATATTTAACTACAGTAGAACACAATTGTACGCATGTAGAGAGGGTGGAACATCATGAAAGAGAATAAGTGGAGAAAAGAAACAGAAAAAGCCACCCAATGAAATCCTAACAAAACCCTTGAAAGTAGGAAGAGTGAGTGAGTAAAGTGGACATTTGGAGCCTCTGGACTAACTTATGCACTATCATCTAGTGAGGGCTGGGGACTATTTGCCAATTAAGTTACTGTTCAAAGATGGGAGAGCTTGACCCCATGACAAGACTATGAAAGGAGAAAATGCCTCTAAAAAATTAATAAAGCAATAAAATAGCTTTAAACTATTAAAAATTGGAGGGAAATAGCATTTGACCCTATTTCACAGGACATCAACCTGGCATGCACTGGCAGAGAGACATGTGCACTATATCCCAAGTACTTTGGATACACAGTCTGTCCGCACTTGCATTTTTGTCAGCTTGCATTCATTTAATGGTATGATGGGATCTGATCCCTGATCCCCAAATCATGCCTCCTACCATGATTGTCAGCCCCAGCCCCAGAATGCACCAGGACTGGTTCAACTCCCCAGTGTGGTCCCAAGGGAAAAGGCCATAGTTGGAACTGGAAGTTAGCTGATTGTTGGCCCTGTCCCAGACAGCCCTGGGTCTGTTCACCCAGGGCTGTTTGGGCTGACAGTCAGCCCTAGTCAGCTGTAATAGCCCTAGGTCCTGAACCTGGAGCTGGCCAGGCCAGGGCCAAAAATCAGCAGATTGCCAAACCCCAATGCCCAGCAGCTCTGGCTGGGCATGGCAGGAGAGCTGGGGGAAGCCAGAAGAGCTTCCCTTTGGCAGCTTCTCATCCCCCAAGCCTGGCAGCCTGGCCAGAGCCCTTCGGTTGTGGTGTTTACAATTTCCAGCAGGGGGAAGTCCTTTGCTTTCCCCCACCAGGAGCCTCTGATTCCCCACACCCAACCATCCAGCCGGGACTTTTGGGTGCAGGGTGTAAAATTGCCACAGAAGCACTTTGGCTCCCCCTACCTTCTGGATAGGCCAACAGTCAGAGTCCTGGGGCTATTCCAGACCACAGTCTGATCTTCATCCCAGGACTAACAGTCAGCTTATTGTTAGCCCTGACCACACGTTAAATTTAAAGTGCCTTACAAACCAGCCTGAAAAATGTTCTGTATCATATGTAGAACATTTTTATGGCTTGTTTCCCAGTTTTTGGTGTCTTAAATCCAGTACACATGTAGCCCATTTATGTTGTGGTTAACATGTTAATCATGGCATAAATGTATTGTATAGAGGAGGCCTGAGTGACAATGTGAAACTTTACTATCAAGTTGCATGATCCCAATAAAATTATGCATGCAGAAGTAGAGCATCTGAGCATTTTGCTGTTGCTTACACCAGTGCAACTCTACTTAAGTGTCGCTCTCGCTCTTGTTCTTACTCTATCTGTCTATAGATAGACATATAGATGTATAGATATATGTTATATAAAATGATAGGCAAATAGGGCCATCTGACCTAAGCAATTTTGATGAACATTTTGTGCTAATTTAGCACACAAAATTCCCATTGATTTTTAACAGGGGAGCTTTGTATATCAACCAAATATAAGTGTCGTGAACTAAAATAGGTCAAGAACAATTTTATCAGTATTCTAAGAATCTGGAGTATGGATTGGAGGATAGTGTTTTGGTACTGGAGATAGTCATGCTGGCAGCAGTATGCAAGAAGGAAGTAAAAATGCTCATATGCTATAAATCAACCTAAAGTTCTTTTATCCTAATTTCCCCTGTTATTGTAGCTATGGTTTTAAGCCTGCTCATTTGCCACTTGTGTAATATAGCCACACTCCCAATTACATGGTCGCTTGTAGCATGACTGGATAAATAGGCCCATTTAAGTTATCTGGGTTTTTTGTGACTCAGAATTAAGATCTTAAGAGTTCTGCTTTTAAAATAAGAGTGCACAACAATAAAAAAAAAAGCTCTTCTATGGGATACCGGTAGTATGGATTCTTTTTACTCTTCTTTTGCAGTATTTGTCGGCGAGGGATATTCAGTTGTACTAGTTACCCTTGTCCTGCTGTGTGTACAGTTTATGGAGATCGACATTATTATACTTTTGATGGATTGGAATATGATTATGTTAGTGACTGCCAAGCTTATTTGGTAAAGGTAAGAGAACTGATCACACATTCTTTTTTCTCTTATGCACATTCTTGTACCAGAAACTAATACTGAACTGGACATGCAAAGGCATCCTCTAGTGGTTTTGAATATCAATATCTTTGATAATGTCACCTTTGGTAAAAACTTAAATGCAAGACACATGTAAATTAAAGTGTGTGTATGGCGGGGGGAGGGGGATCTATAAAGAACTGTGCTAAAGGCATTTTGATGAATTTAGAAGACAAAATGTGGTCTTAGGATTAATTAAAATACTGGAGCCCTTCTATACCCTTGCTTGATGAAGGAAAGCAAAATGAGACATTGTGCAAATGTTAGCGTAAGGGTGACTGTTGTCACCATGATGGTCCAGAAATTATGCAAGAAGCCAGAATTTCTTAGGGTGATATCTTTTATGGGACCAACTGTGTAGTTAGAATAGAGTTAGACAAGCTTTCAAATGCAAGACATTCTTCATCAGGTTGAAGATGAAGAATCTCTTGAATTCAAAACCTTGTTTAACTTTATCCCAACTACATAGTTGGTCCAATAAAAGATATCACCCTAAGAAATTCTGGCCCCTCGTATTGTGCAGATATTTTTCCCCTCCACCCCCAGCAAATTACTCCCACCCTGGGATTACCATTATGTTCCATCATCTCTAGTTTTTAGATTCAAGCTCTTTTTGGAGCAGTCAGTGTCTATATTTGTACTCAGTTCTTTGGAGCAAGTGTAAATTAGTAATATTGGTAGGAATTAATATAGGGCATAAGAAAGTTTTAAGGTTGTCTGGCTGTTTTCATTGCTAGAAGTGTTTGCTTAACTCGATAGATAAGAGCTTTTCATTGTATTCCTCTGTGTCACAGGGCACTAAGGGGTGTGCCTACTCCTTTAAGGGCAGAAGCTGCCTAGAGAGAGGGCCCTAGGACCCAGGCAGCCCCCACAGGTTCAGGTTGCTGTGGCAGCAGACTAATGAGGGAATTAGCTAGCACCTGCACCCAGTCAGCTGACCAGAAGAAGGCAGGGCCCTGGGCACATATAAGCCCCAGGGCTGAGACAGGAGGTAGTTAGTGCTCAGGCAGCACCCAGGGGGAAGGAGCTCTTGCAGGAGCTCTATTCAGAGATTATTTTTTGCCATTCCACTGCTGGTAAGACTGAGGGGCTCTAGGACCTGCTAAAGTATCTGGGGCTAGGGGGCACACATTGTTGAGGGAGAAGCTTTCCCCTTAACAGGATAGAGTGTGACCTCCAATGTTATTGTTGTTATGTTATAGCCCAGGGTCTTGTATTTACATTGCTTGTTGTTTAATCCGGTGGACTGGACAGAGGCTATTGGGGAGGAGGAGGCCTCATTGGGGCACGCTACAGTGTGGAGAGCCCAGCGCCAGTAAGAGTGTGCAGACAGGGGCACAGAGAGCCCAACATGAGTGAGGGTGCATAGATAGGGGCCAAGGGCCCAGTGATGATAGGAAGCTGATCTAGATTAAGGCTTCAGAGGGACAACGTTTGAATACCACCTGCAAGGCATGGGGCATGGTAAAGGGACAATTTAGGAGCCATGTATCTAGCCCATAAAGCTGGGGGTGTCCCACGAGGCAATAACTTAAAGCAGGACCCAGCAAGGGGTCTAAGAACACACATGGTTTAGTAGGTCCACCAGAACTGTGACTGTAGCAACTTGAGGGCAGCCTCCCTATCTACTATCTATTATCTTAGCCATCAAGACGTGGCAGGAGAGACTAGAAGGTGCCCTCACAGTGAAGCTGGCATGGTCACAGGGCCCTAGGGGCATCACAGCCATCTCTAGGGAACCCACCTCATGATACTCTGTGACCCAAAGAAAGATATTATGTGACATTTATTATTTAAAAAAATACTGCTCTACTGCTGCCATAGGTTTTTTCCCTGTAGGATTTGATAGTATAGAAATGACTGTGAAGCTAGACATGGCCTTTATACATTTGCTCTGGTGTAACCCCAACAATCTTGGAAGTTATTGGAACTCTTCCTATTGATTTTAATGTGTAGCCTGTATCATATTCCAAGTATACAAATATAATTAAAATAAAGTTTTGCAGCAGTGAATTTCTTTCTGTTTTTTTTTTATGACTGGCAGTGACATGCTTCTCATAGCACACATTGACTAGCCTGAATCCTGTAAAAGTACCACATGGAGCTTAAAATATATCATCCTGTTACCATCACAGTAACCTTTTTTGTTGTTGTTAGGAGTGAGAGTTTCTTTTGTGTTTCAGTAATATCCTGTAGAAGAACGTTTTAACTAGGACTCTAAATTTAGCTGGAGGACTATTGTATGTTAGTAGCCATCTCTTGATTTTTGTGTTGCTTTGGTACAAAGTCAAATCATTATTAGATGCTCAGCCTTCTGTCATGGCTATGAATATCTAGTTAATTTTCTCCTATTGTCCAGTCCAGTTTTGCCTGCTTTGCTACTCTATATTGCAGTATGTATTTCTTTGCAAGAGAACCATTCAGGGGGGTTTGGAGTTCTAAAGTTCAAGAACGAAGGTTGGCAGGCACATAATCAAGATGCATGGCACATTACCAGTAGTCCTTTAATCCAGTGAACAAGATGTCACAAGTGATGAAAATGCTGCCTATGTAGATTTGTGATATCAGAACTAGCCTTGTTCTGTTGCAGACAGGTGCAATGGTAGCTCTGCCTAGATAGAAGCTTTTCAGACTCTTGGTGGGGTTTTTTTTAACAACAAAGATGTGGTGTTTCCCAATAACTAATTTGTTTGCAACCCTTGGGTTCCTCTTTAGTGTTGAGAGATTTCATCACTCTTACTGAAGTATTGTTTACTATAAGCTAGGCATCGTATGATGACTGCAGAATAGATACTATTATGGGTAAAATTATGTATGTAAAATAATGAGGAGTAGTGAAGAGACTGATTTTTATTCCTTAATGATGCTGATGATTTAGCAATACGTTTCTATATCTCGATGTGTGATTTCTGAATTAAATAACTGTCCCTGGGATTACATTACTCTGTTTTGTTTCCCTGCCTCAGATTCCATATCTTTAGCCGGAATATTGTATGACAAGTATTTAAGATAAATCCATGATATTTTTAAAATGTTGCATTTAATGCAATATCAGTGGTATTCAACCTTTTTGTCCAATGGGCGGCAGTGCCCAGTCCCTCCACAGGGTGGATCTGGCTGGTGGTCCCAATCTGGTGACTGGGGCAGGGGTGGCAAGGCCCCATACAGCTGTGAGGAGAGGGGCAGGGGGTAGCCCACTCTCAACCCATCCATTCTCTGGATGGGGTCTTTGCCCAACCCCAACCCAGCCCTGTGGAGGGGGAGGCAGCACAACTCAACTCAGATCCAGTCCCAGGGTGTGGGTGGGGGTGTGGCCTTACCCCACAGGAGGAAGGGGGTGTCACTTGGCCCCAACCTGGCTGGGTGGGAGGGAAGGGACATGGCCCTGTCCTGTGGAAGGAAGCAGGCATGGCTCTCAGCCCCACCCTATCTTGGCTAGGTGGAGGGAATGGTACATGGCCCAGATGTGGGGGAGGCAGTGGAAGGGGCCATAGGCCAGCCCCAAACAAACTGGGCAGGGGGAGGGGCCAGCCCCAACCCAACCATGCATGGGTAACCAAGCCATGCATGAGTGACCTAACCAAATGCAAGAGAGCACGGCCTGGCCCCTATCTGACTGTGTGTAGGGAGGGTTGTGGCCTGAATGGCCCCACTGCATAGGGCTTGGGATTTTGGCAATGGGGAGGGGTGGCAGTGTTAACTGACACTGCTCCCCTGCCACCAAATTCCCCAACCCATGGGGAGCCCTGCAGGTCAGTTTCCAAGGCTCTGTAGGTCATATTTGGCCGGTGGGCCAGAGGTTGAATACCCTTGGTTTAAATAGGTGAAATTGGCTCAGCACCTGACCTTCTGTATTACTTGTAGGAGCTCAGGTGTGGTGGTCCAAATTGTTACCCAGTCATCATCCCTAATTCTATGTAGGCATTCATTTGCACACAGCTAATTTCTGTGCTTGTATACATAGACAGATACTGAGGTTTCCAAATGTTGTAGGTTTACGTGCTGAAAGAAGCCTTGTTGTTTCCAATTTAGAAAATGCTGTGTCTTTTCCTTTTATAATCAAGAGATGCCAATTGAAGTTGAGATTTCTTTGCACTAGGCACTTTACAAGCACACAGTACAAGACTTCCTCTGCCCTTGAGAGCCTCTAGTCTACATAGATGAGACAGGTAAATGGGGTCAGATGAGAGACGCAAGCAAAAAGGCCATAAAACATGCCAAAACCAGGAGTAATGTCCAGATCTCTCATGATATAATACTATCAGATTATATTTTCAACCCTGCCGGCGCTTGGGGAAAAAGATAGAATGTATTTTTCCCACTCTTCCTGAGAGATTGTAACCATTTAAGAAATATGTCCATTTGATTTGTTGCACACCATGTTCTGCACCAGATTTTCAAAAGGGCTAGGCACACAAAAGCATAGATAGACTGCACATCCATTTAGCATGAACAAACAATTTAGGTACATAGTGGCAAATGTAATTTAGTTGAAAATCTGGCCACACGTTTGTTATTACAAAGAGGAATGTGGTCTGCCTGACTAAAAAGTGGATGGTCTAATAATAAGACATGAAGACTGAGAGTCTATTTGGGGCAACATCTGGGCCTGGGGAATTTTACCACCTATTCTGTCTCAAGTTCCTTGTCTAGTTATATGTACAGTAGCATAAATTTTGCCTGATGCAAATGCATATTATATTTACCTACTGGTAGTTCACAATATTATTACGAGGCTCAGCTAATAAATAAAAACTTTTTAAAGTTCACTGAATACTGTGGATACAAGCAGCTAAAGATACCATATTGTGTATAAAGCAATATGAGAATTGTCTCTATCTTTGCTGAGAAATGAGTTCTTGCAAGTTCATAAATCAGAGTAGTCTGGCATCAGAATGCAATAAAATGGGAACCTCAGCTACCAGATATTTTCCGGA